TTGTTCCATTTTGTGGGTTATACTTTATATATGTTAACGCAAATCCCAAATTTAATTTTGCTCAGTATTGGGATAAAAGTATGTTTGGTATTATTGTATATTAAGATAGATCAATCTTATAAAGGAAATGAAGGAACAAGGGTGAAGTCTATACTGAAATCATAACACAATCTCCTTAAGATATAATCCACAACCTCATTATTAAGAAATGGTCCCAGCTTCCTCCTAGAGTGACCCTACTCCCAGCATTTCATCGAAAATAAATTCCTTTGCCAGAAGCTTGAAAGTTCTCAGGGTCATTTAAATATAAAAAATCTAAATAGGGGCAGGAAGATAGCTGAGAGGGTTAAGAGCATGCCACACACTTCTAAGGACCAGAAATTGGATCACCAAAACACAAGTACAACCCTAGGCAGGTAACATGCAACTAAGACTACATATCTTAGTCCACAGGAGGAAGAAACAGGGAATCCCCAGAGCAAGACACCTAACCAAAATAGAGAAAATTTTGAGTTCCATCTGGGATCAGTGAGAGAGCCTGCCTTACATTATACAAGGTGTTGAGCAACTGAAGAAGACACAATATAAACTTTCAGCCTTCACAGGCACAGACATATACCATGCATTCATTCACATAAGTGAATGTACACCTGGAAATACCCATGCATACATACCACATGCACATACATTAGAGGGAAAAAAAAGTAGCAATTTCTGAGAAAACAAACTGGTCTCTTTGCATAGAAGAGACCAAAAATGATATTAAAATTTACATACTCACATCAACAAGCCAAATGTCATCTTTTCGATTATCTTTAAATCTAAAAACAAAAGCAAAAATAAATCTGATTTTGTATTTATGTTCACAAACAACATCCCTACCAATAGTATTTATTACCATAACTAGTATAATTTATTTAAGAATACTGAACTGATCAATATAAGGACCCAAACAAATGCTCTGAATAAAAGTTTCATATGAAATTTTTACTTAGTAATTGCTAAATCTTATCCTATTTAGTAAACATTTTAAGAATTAAAATTGAAAACGGTCCAAAGAATTGAAAAACTCCAATGAAAGAAAGAATATTTGGGGAAAACCACAAATGTAGTCTGCTTCTTTTATCTGGTATTCCACTTGGAACAAGGGGCTTCTCTATTCTGAATAAATAATGGTTTTCACTTCTTTATTACATTAACAAAACAGCAAATGTATTTACATTATGCTTTGTTAGGTGTTACACAAAACCTAGGGATAAGTTAAAATACATAGAAGATGTGTACAGATAAATGTAAATAAATTACCATACATATAACGTCCTTGAGCATCCAGACTTTGTTATCTACAGAAAATCCTGGAACTAATCTCCATGAGTACTAAGGGATGATGATGTATTTCCTAACCTCTTCTCTTCTGTATTCCATTTTACATCCATGCAAAAAATTAATGTTGTGGCCCAAGGTTATTTTTAGAAAAGTCTGCTTACAAGATTGGCCCCTTGTTTGTATTAAGAGTGAGGATTTTAGGAGGAGTCTCATCATTTCCTGGTAAAGAATGCAGTTCTCATAAAATATTTGTGAAAAGCAACAAATCTAGAATTGCTGTACTGGGACCAAAGGTCTGAGATTCATATTCCAGGGTATAATAAACTAGTAAAATGCCATCAGCTAGTTAGGCTTGTCCTTTAACTGTGTATCTTAACACTCACCTAGTCCTGTGGATATGTGTGACATAGCATAGGATTAAATGTATTCCCCTGAATGAGCCCACTATATATAGGCTAATTCAAAACTCCAGGGCCACCATCAAATGCTCCCCTCTTAGACAACCTCAATAGGAAGCAAAATGGCACACATGAGCTCGACAGAGTGGGTCAAGTGAGCACAAGGCATGGGGATGATTAAGTAAACTCAGTGACACATCACTGGCAGTCAGGTCCAGAGGAATATTAAGACGACACAAGGGGTCCAACATGTTCCAATGGTGAGAACAGCATGACTTGAGCTTCAGCAATCTCCCTGTGAGATATCTTCACCGGGATATGAAAAATGGAACTTTTTTTTCATGCCGCTCTGGTGCTTTTTCACAACGGAATTCCCTGCTCAGTCTGGAGTCATGTCTAAATTTTGTGGGTATGAGTGGCAACATCTGCTGGCACTGCTACAAGATACATTTTAGTTTTCTCATTTAGCCAACAAGCAAGGTACTCTATCATTAATATTCCCCAATGGAAGAGCCTTTCAGGTTGAACATCCACATAAGGAGCAAAGTGATTACTAGAAATGAAACTCTCCTTACGTAGAGTTACTATTATTAGAGCAGTGTGAAAAGGTGGCTGATGTTGACATATCCCACAAGACACCATTGAGTTAAATAAAGCTACTTTCTTGTTATCAAAGAGTTTTCCTCAAAATCAGTTTCTATAAACAATTTCAAACATACCGCCAAGGCTCATTACTATGACTATGACCCATGTGATGTTCCATACTTCTGGCTAATTCATCTGAGTACCTGTATTCAAATGATCATATTACTCACTACAGCAATTCAATCACACAGTCAGGTGGCAAGGTGGTTGATGGGGACAAGGAACAAAATTGAAATTAACTGTCTGTAGAAATTGTTCAGTGAGTAAGAGAGTTTTTTGTGCAAGAAAGAGGACTTGGGTTTAGAATATAGCACCCACAACAAAGCTAACACCATGCCTGCAATCTCAGTTTACAGGGGTAGAAACAGGAAGAGTTCTGGGGCTTGCGAGATATTGGCCAGCACCAGGTTTAGTGACAGATCCTATTTCAAGGGAGTAAGATGTAAAGCAGTAAAGCAGAACTTACAGAGTGATGGTCTGTCCTTTGTACATGCATGTAAAGATTGTGCTCACACATGTGCACACATGCTACAAACTACAAACAAATACCTATATATACGCTACACACAAAAAAAAAAAAAAACTTGAAGTAACAAGTCCTGATTCATCCACTGTTAATTGTGAAATATATGAGAAAAAAAGGATGGTAACTCCTTGGATGGGAGTTGTTTGTTTCTGTTATGAAAACAGTACCATACAAACATCAGGCAGATGTAATTACACACAGACAGGGAAATCCATCTTACTGATAAGAAGCATAGAAGAAAAGACTTCTGCCTCTCTGTAAGTGGGAAAGTAACTAAGTTAAAGACCTCAACAAGAACATTTTAGTAGTAAAGTATATGAAAAAGGTAAAGCCACCAATAATGATCCAACAAGTAGGCTGGGAGTGCTCGTATATTTATGAGCTTGGTTGGCATGGGAGGTCTGAGTCCTTAACTACAAGTCCCTCCAGAGACTGTACACCAAATCTGGTGTGGGAAAGGCACCCATGTGGCCTGCCAGGGAAAAGATTGTTATCATGTGCCGTCAAGGCAGAAAGACTGACCTCGAATTTTGCAATAAACTTAGACTTCTTACCTATTGTGAGCAAGGTCTTGTGAACAAACCTGTTATACTACAGATTAAACACTGAACTGTGTATGATTAAACAAAAAGAAAGGAAACAATATAGAAGCATTTGCTGGTTTTTCACCTTACAACTATTAGCAAAACTCTCTGGTGCACTCCTCCATTTAGCATGCAAATGGCACTTAAAACAACTGAAACAAATTTGGCAATATGCTAACGTTGGTCACCACTGTACCTATTATTAAAAAGTTAGATTCCTGTGTAGATATTTGGATGTCATTTGAGTTAAATGATGTTAAATAGTATTTAAGACATGTACGTATACTCACGATTCATTTAGATCTTCTACAAATCCTTTACAGACAGCCAGGTCAAGTAAAATAACTGGAAGGACAAAAGGACAAAATGCAGAAGATAAATGATTTATCACTTTGTTTTTATCTTAAGTCTAAATTGCCTATAAAATGTTGGATTTTTTTTTTTTTACTATTTACCAAAAAGCTCAGCAATGATCCCCTACACGGTGTTAAGTGACACAAAAGCAAAGTAGTTCACCCACTCAGTAAAATTTACAATGCATGTAATCGTACTGCAAAGGGCAAGCACTATGTAGGTGAGTACACAATACTTGTTACTTGTATTGTTCTACATATTTCCACTCCCGTTTTATTTTTCCTTTTCACTAACCTAATTTTCTGGCCTAGAGATAAAAATAATTTCCTTTTTCCTCTAGTAACATTTATCCCCTCGGTACAAAATCTAAATGGATTTTCCCCAAAACTGGGCTTCCGCTCTAACACTTATTACAGGGCAGTGCCTGGCTCACAGAGGGTTCTAAATTGGTGGCCGGCCAAGTCAGGAGTGAACCACCGAGAACCCAAATACTCCATGCTGACAGCTTAAAAGACGATGGGTCTTTCTTCACAACATAGTCTTGGCTATCTGACCAGGGTCTGCCCTTGGGCATCATCCCTTTCTTAGTTTGTGAAAGAAAAGCCTTCCACTGTAACATGACTCAGAACCTACACCAAGTTGGGGCTCAACATCCTTGTCAGTCTATCAGTAGAGTCAAGGAAACTTCCTGATCGCAGAGAGGATAGCAGTACCCTCTTGGCGTGTGACCGCAGAGCCCCACTGAGGAAGCCCGGCCCACCAAGGATTACTGGGTATCCCAGGGACCCTGCGGCGCGGCCCCAACCCAGCTCGGCTCCATCCCCAGCACAACCTCCCACCGCTCCCCACCGCTCCGCTTGCTCCTCACCGGCAGCGCAGAGCGGGAAGGTCGCCCAGCTCCTCCGCCCCGCAGCTCTGGCCATGGAGCGTGGCATGGATCCCGCCAAGAGCGCGAGCAGAGATACAAAAACGCCGGCGCCAGGCACCTGCCTGCCGGAAAGGGAAGCGAAGACGACCCGGCACGCAGAAGAGCTCCAAGCCCGGCCGGGGCGGGGCAGGGTGGGGAGGCCTCCCTCAGACCCCGGTGGCCCAGCGGTTGTAACTTCTGAGCATGCACCGGATGCGACGCATGCGCCTGAGCAGTACGCATGCGCATTCGGGTTCCCACGGCGCCCTCGGAGCTCAGAAGAGGATGGGAATTCGCGCGGGGTACTTCCTGTGAAGGCGCGAGTGTGCCTTGGGACTCTTCCCGGAATGCACGTATGGATTTGTCGGGTGAATTTAGTGCTGGAAGTGAGGTAGGGTCCGACATGCACCCTTGAGTTTTGTCACATTTTTAAAACTTGTCACTTAAGTCCAGGGAACACACTTGTATACTGTGATAGTATATAAGTAAGTGGGAAGTCATGCTTTAAAATAAAAGACTGGATTGTTGAGCTCTGACACCCTCTGTGTTAAAATCTATTTAGAATATTATAAATTGGTTCATTACTATTCCATTATGGATGGGAGAGCTATCAACAGTTTATGGTTGCTCGGATGGGATGTGTGATATTTTCTTAAGTGGTAGGTTGCCATGCTCAGGCAAGCTGCGACAAGACATTGAAACTCAGTGCATCACCCCCCCCCCCACCACCACACACACACACACACACACACACACACACACACACACGAAAGTACATTTAGGTCTTCAAGAAAAGTTTTGATACCACAGGGGGACGATAGAGTCATGAGAAGAATCAAGTTCATCATAAACACGTTTGAAAATGTGAAAGAATGAAAATAAGAGAATTGCTTCTTCTGCAACTTAAAAAAAAAAGTTAACTATATTATCTTGGTTGTGTTTTTACTGTTTTCTGGTTATTTTTGGACCGAAATCCTTACTATAAAATGTTTGTGTTGTAACCTACAACCTTCCCTACAACACAATGATTTATAAAAACAATACACTTTTTATAAGTTGGTCTCTGTGGCAGTCACTGAGTTAGATGAGATGCCTTAAATAGGAATGAGGTACCAGAGGATTTGGGTTAAACCAGTTCTTAGAATTTATGTTATGAAAACAGCATGCAAAGGCAGAGGAGTAGAAGTGGGAAAAAAGGATAAGAAACACATACTTAGCAGAAAAGCATGTGAGAAATGTTTGTAGTAGGACTGATTGTAAATGTTTAAAAGTAGAATATATATGTTGTGTTGTTTTCCTACAGTAAAATACTATATATAACAATTAGAAATGATTGAGACAGGCAGGGTAAGCCCATGTTTGTAATTCCAGTGCCCAAGAACCTGAGCAAGGAAGACTGCTGTGAATTCAAGGTTAGTGTGGGCTACACTGTAGGACCCTGTTCCAAAAGCTAAGAAACAAATACATACAAAACAAAAACGAGTTAACTTTTATGAACTTATTGGATATATACCATAAATGTTGAGCAAGAGAAGTCAAATAAAAAAATGGTACTCGCTCTTTTACTTTCACAATCTCAAAAATAACCAAGAGCTTAACTTAATGCTTTCTGCACTGTCATGAGGACCAGAGTTGAGATACCAACATCCACCATGTAACATGCTCTGTATTCCCTGAATGCCTATAACCAGTCCCTACCCCAACAACTTTAAACAAGTTAACCAAGACTATACAGATAAATATTTTATTGATCTGGTATTACTTATAAAGATTTCACCTTGTGAAAATGAATTTAAATTTCAGTGTTAGGTTTTAAAATATTTGAAACTAAAAATTAAACAAAAACCTATGTTTATTGTTAGTGGAAAGATAAAATATGGAACATTGCTTCTCAAATTTTATAAACACGAGTTACCTTTGTCCAGTTTATATGAGAAATGCCCTTCACAGGCTCATGCATTTGAGCAGTTATTCCTTAACTGGTAGTGCTCTTTTGGGGAAGTTCTAAAACTTGAACATGGGGCCTAGCTGGCTGAAACAGAGCCTTAGGATAAGGACTTCCATGTTTCCATCCACCTGAGCTCTCTGCTTTCTCACTGCTAGTGTAATCAGTTGCCCTATACCTGCCTCTGCCTCAGTACCTTCCCCAGTCATATTGTATATACCCTTTCTAACCATTAAAAAAATAATTCAATTGCTTTTCTCAAGTTTTTTTCCCAGCTATGAAATAGGTAATTAACACAAACTATATGTAGCATAAATTAATAGGATGAACAACTTTATTAAGTTGATATTAAAAATAAAGAAAAAACATTAAAAAATGAAATTGATTTTAGAATTAGCCTTTAGAAAAATTGAAAAATTGATTTAGATTTGAAATCATTCTATAAAGAAAACAGTAGGCTGGGCGGTGGTGGCGCACGCCTTTAATCCCAGCACTCGGGAGGCAGAGGCAGGTGGATCTCTGTGAGTTAGAGGCCAGCCTGGGCTACCAAATGAGTTCCAGGAAAGGCACAAAGCTACACAAGAGAAACCCTGTCTCGAAAAACCAAAAAAAAAAAAAAAAAAAAAAAAAAAAAAAAAAAAAAAAAAAAAGAGAAGAAAACAGTAGATTCAGTTTCTAAAATGTGCTGATATATTATCCGTTTTTATTTAAAAATCAGTTATTACTGATAATTTTCCAGCAAAACAAAACCAGTAGGAAAAAATTTATCGGGGGTGGTTCACAAGATAAACAAGTCCCATGATCTGAAGGTGAAAACCAGTGGTATAATTCTGAAGCCTAAGAACTCAGGTCAGACAGTAGCAACAGTTCTAGCACATTGTGGATTACAGTTCCATCACCTTTTTGTTTTATCAAAGATGACTGTGAGTGATGCCCATCCACACTGAAAAAAACTGCCTACTTTCCTAAGTTTCTTATTCAGTCAATCTTTTCAGAAATATTTTCATAGACACAGAGTAACATTTTAACACCTTTCTGAAAATGCTTTAATGCAGTAATTTAGCACATGAAAGTAGCTATCAAATTGTTTCATATTTCTTAAGAATAGGAGCAATAGAGAACATTCACCAATTCATACAAGGCCAGTAGAAAGTTAATACAAAACCCAGAAGAGGCAAATGTGAGAAAGAAAATTATACAGATAATTCACTTAAGAGCAAAATAGAAAAGATGTTCTTAAGGAAAGACCATAGGCTCATATATTTGAATGTTTGGCCCCCAGTTGGTGGAATTACTTGGGAAGGATTAGGAGGTATGGCATGTTGGAGGAGGTGTGTCACTAGGGGTAGGCTTTGAGGTTTCAAAAGTCCACACCATTCCCAGTTAGCCCTCTTTCTGCATCATGCTTGTGGTTCAGATGTAAGCTCTCAGCTACTGCTGTGGCATCATGTCTGCCTGCCTGCTGCCATGATCGCCACTGTTACAGTTATGGACTCACCCTCTGAAACTGTAGGCCCCCACTTAACATTTTCTTCTACAAATTGTTTTGGCCATGGTGTATCTTCATAGATATAAAAGTAACTAAAACACACAGAGACCTACAACTGATCAAGGTGCAAAGAATGAGAGACTGTGCAATCCTCATTCCTAAATGGGAGATTTATATCCCACTTCTTCTTTCAGTCCTCAGGTGTCATTACAGAAGTTGGGGAGGAAATACTGTAAGATCAAAAGGTTGAAGATAAACACAAAGAAACAGTGTTTTCCAAACAGGATAGGAAAGTTTTACTGTGAAGTCACAGATGTTGTAATAGCATGCACAAAACCTCTACAAACTTATTCCTGAGAAAATTCCAACATGGAGAGGAGAGGCAAGCATGATGCCCCACCCTGAGCTGTTTGTAGAAGGAGAGTGAGTTTTCTTTAAGTTTGTGACTCCTTGGAGGCCAATCATACTCTAGTGAATGGCCATGCACCCTAGGGTATATGTGTAACACAAATTGGACTTGATGGGTTTAAAGAAATGATACCAAGCTATGAAAGCAGGGAGGTGGTGTGGATCTTGGAGGAGTTTAAAGGATTATGCTGTGTAGCTAGAGTTTTCCTGCCTGGCCCACAGTCAGGACAAATCTCTATCACCTGCCAGTCCCACAGCCGCTCAGACCCAACCAAGTAAACACAGAGACTTATATTGCTTACAAACTGTATGGCCGTGGCAGGCTTCTTGCTAACTGTTCTT